ACAGACCTAGTGTGCCTAATCCTAGTTTTCATACCATTGGGTAGGCCAACATAAGTACTTGGGTTAGAATCCATATCAACAGGTGAAGTTAAGCTAGACAATCTACTAGTCATGTGATCTGTTGCCCCTGAATCTATTATCCAATTTGCAATATCATTAAAGCAAGATAAGAGTGATGTTGCTATACCTGCTACATTGGCTAATGTTTAGACATTTTCTTTACCAAGTAATTGAAGGAGCTGGGAATACTATTTTGCCGAGAGAATTGTGCCTAGTGAACCCTTTGAAGTATCCACATGAGTGTTAGCAGTATGTGTTATTTGTGCATTAGACTGTGTATGCACTTGATTAGCTACTAAGTTGCCTTTTGACCCATTCACCTTTCCTTTGTAATCAACTAGATAACCATGAATCTTGTAACATATGTCTCATTTATGTCCTGGCAGATGACAAAAATCACATTCTATATAGGGCTTTTTCCCTTTGTATTTAGAATTATGATTCTGTCCAATCTCCGTATTATGCGCATACAGTGCAGTGGTCACATCTGTACCAGCAATAGCCCCAAAAAAAATCCTTTGACTTTTATCTTGATTCACAACTGAATAAGCTTGCTTGACGGAGGGCAATGACGACATCAATAGAATCTGAGTCCTCACCATAGAATAAATGTCATTCAACCTTATTAAAAACTGCAACAACCTCTGTTGGTTTAGATGTTCCAGATACACCTTAGCTGATGCACTATCTGGAGGTGGTAAGCTTATCAATGAGTTCAGTTCATCCCACAATGCTTTTAGTTTGTTATAATAAATGGCCACAAACATGGTACCATGCGTGAGATTAACAGTCTCCCGATGAATCCTATAAATTCTGGTTCCACTCACCTTATGGTACTGTTCTTGTAGGTCCTACCAAACCTGATATGCACTGGTGGAATAAAAAATTCCATTAAAGATTTCTTTTGAAACCATGTTGAAGATCCAAGCTAAAACTAGTGAGTTGCATCTTTCCCATTGTGCACCCAAGCTTGGATCTGATGGTTTCTTGCACGTGCCATCAACAAAACCCAACTTATACTTAGCTCGGAGTGAGTCTGTCATGGCCCTGCTCCAAATGCCATAATTCTCAGTGCCGATGAGTTGTTTAGTTACCAACACTGACCCCGGAGTGTTCGATGAGTGAATGTACAGTGGTGCGTTCGAATCTAGAGGATTCATTATCTTGTACAATCGAAAGCTGAGCAAATCTTGAAATCGAGATCTGAGCTGAGCAAATCTTGAAATCGTAAGTTGAGCAGATTTGAACTGAAACTGATCAAGATCTGAGCTGAGTAAATCTTGAAATCGTAAGCTGAGCAGATCTGAACTGGAACTTAGAACTGAGCTGAACTCTTGAACAAATTGATCCCTAATTAATTGCAAAAGGAATCAGTTGGATCAAGGAATCAATGGGTGAACTCTTGAACAAATTTATTCCTAACTAATCGCAAAAAGAAACCAATTGAATTAAAGAATTAATGGGCTTAAATTCAAGAAGATCAAACCCTAGAGCTTTGATACCATATTAGATTTTGAGTAGAAGAAAAAATTCTACAGAAGAGCATTTCATTCATTATCATAAAATTACAACTCATTTTCTCTTACGCATATTCAACACTTTTCAGCTAACATATCTGTAGTGAATCTGTAGTGAATTTACTCAACTAACCTCAGCTAACTACATTTACAACCATTCTGTTACATTTACTAAAAACACCAGTTTACACTACATTACATTTGACTAATAGTTAACATTAGTTTGAGTTGAATAGAGCTGAATATATCTTCAATAAAGACCTTTATTTATACTAGAATTAACCTTAATTAACTAGGAAATGAATAAACCTATTAATCAAAAGAAATCTTATTCTAATATGGAAAACACCTAAACAAAAATTGAATTTAATTAGGACTACTATAAGAAAATAAGAAATCCTAAATATAAGGAAATATAATGATTCTATGATTTAATTTTCCTTTATGTAATTTGACAACAAATTGGTATCTTATAATCAATGATTCAATCTTACAACAAAACTAACAATCCTAATATACTAAAAACAAACACTAACAATCAATGGCAGAACCAAGAAAGTACTTTTAGGGGGCTGAAGTGTAATGTTTGATGTATAAAAAAATTATTTCAAAGGATGAAATTGTTAATTTTACATAAAAATTCCTAATTATTTTAAAGGAGGATGGTAATGGCAGTCACTAATAATGATCAATTAATTTCCTTTGATTTATATTTTCATGACTTTAAATTCCCTTGAGTGAATCATGGACGAGATAGATAATTGAAAACCAAAAGATGAGCCAAACTAAATATTAAACCCAAGATGTATTACATACGGATGTATGAAGTAATTACTTAATCTAAATAGAGTAACTCATAAATTCTCAGTTATTCTTTACATGAATACATGCAAATTAAAATAATAACTAGTAAATAAATAAAGGGTTTGGACATATATAACATTATAACCAATTTAATAATTTTAATTTCCCAAAAAAATAAGGTTAATTTAAAGGACAAATCTAGTCATAAAATTTAATGACTTACCAATTATACCCTTAATAAAACAACAAATGATAGGTTCTGTAACCTACAATGCTACACTATGCTAGATCATATTAGGCTCAAATAGTTTAACATTTAACAATATGATTTAACAATATAATTAAAGCATGCTAAACTATACTAGACTTGGTAGTCTAGCACATTCTGACTATTTTTATCTTTATCATTTTTTGTTAAGGGCAACTAGATTAAGTGATGTGATTTAATGACTAAATCTGTCTTTTAAACAAAATCTTTAATTCTCTGAGAATTAAAATTAATGAAAATAGTTATATAGAGCAATTTCTCAGTAAATAATAATTAAGACATCAAACTTTAATTATAAGAAAATAGTGGTTTCAAGGGAGTGGACCTATGATGATTTAAGACCTCAAACCCAGGTGGACCTTGACCCATTTGGTTCGTCGATTGGACCCCATGTGTTCAGCCATTTATGCGTAATGGATGAACCCATTGATTCGGCACACAAAAATGAGCTGTTTATGAAGTGGAAAATTCTGGGAAATAAGTTAATGATTTTGGCAATATCAAAATATGGTAGAGATTGTGGTGTTAATTTTAGTACTGTTGTTTGAATATGGACATTCCAAGTCTCATTCAACACCTACAACCAAAACAATTACATATTGTTACTCTTTTTCTCTTTAGCCCATCTTCAATTTTAATCGAATACCGAATTGTAATAAAAAAAAACTTCTCTTTTTCTCTTGTACTTTTACTTCCAAGCTTTATATTTATTTATAATTACTGAAAAAGGTTTAGACATTCATAACCAATTCAACAATCACAACTTTCCAAAATGTGCATTTTTTATTTAAAGAACAAATACAATCATAAAATCCAATGACTTTTTCATTATACCCGTAAGCGAAACAATAAATGCTAAATTACTAATATCTATCACTAGAGTATTCTAAACTCAATAATTTAGATTGAGTCTAGTATTTAATAGTATGGTTTGACAATTTAATTAAAACATGCTAGGTGCCACAAACCTTGATAGTCTAGAGCATTCAGCTATTTTTGTTCTAGATATTTTTCATTAAGTACAATTAGGTTAAATTGTGTGATTTTATAGTTAAATCTTTCATTTCAGCAAAACCTTGACTTTTCTCTAAAACATAAAAAATAAATTAGAATTAACAATTTCACTATTAAATTAAAACTTAATCATCCAACTTAGTTAATGTTTTATGTTTCTCCTACCGTGAGAATTATTTTTTGTATCATACGATTAAATTGGCCTGAAGCCGAGAGCTTCAACCACAAAGGATTTGACCCTTTACCTACCCGGTGGATGCAAACTAACATGAAAACCCTACTATGAATAAAAAAAAAAAAAAAAAAAAATCCATTTCCCGTTGGTTAGTCCCTCTTAATCCTCCTATAGCTTACATTAGTTCTTAAAGTTTCGTGGCTTATATTAACAATCATGTCATTTATTGATGTCCTATTTTCATTTGTTTAGAGTCCATCACGTGTTAAACTCAATAGCTTCAAGAAAATTCGGGTACTTCTGTAATTCAGTAGTACATGAAGGTGTTGAGGCTGCTGATATTCAACTTAAAAACATTGGAAAAGAACCAGCTAAATCCAAATATAGAACATTAATCCCAAGATTGATGGTGCAATGGACCTGCCTGGATACAAGTAGCTAAGGAACTTATTAGGAAAGCTTAATTTGATTTCAAACATTTATAAATCATATTTATCAGCGTATCAACAATTTTAACACATGTATTTTCATGCATGATGGAACTATGTATTCAATCATTTACATATTAGTAAAGTTAATTTTCCTTATCTTCTTCTAATTATTTAACCAAGCATTTATTTATTTATTATTATTATTTTTTTTTTTTTTTTTTTTTTTTGTGACCAAGGTGTTTGCGCACATCTCAAGTCTTAAATAATCCTGGGATCATTGAATACCGTACAAACTCATGAGCCGAATAAGTAGGTGATTACTTAGTGAAACTCAACTAAAGGTCTTTTAATAACCTAAAGTTTTGTCATGCGACCACAAGCCAAAGGGTTAACTGAGCAAATTACAACTATCTCACATTCAATTCTTGATTATCTAATAATATTTTGATGGATATATTTTTTTGTGGGTTTGAAAAATCTTGATCAATTGGTCGAGTTTGATTTTAACAATAATTTGTTATATGGATTATTGCTTATGAATTGAGAGGGTTTAACGAATTTACTAAAGGGGGTCATTGTTAAAATTGGAATAGAGGGTTGACTCTTCCTGGATTTCTCAGCATGTGCACCTAAAACACAACCAGAAAACCTTAAAACTATATTTAAACATTCAAAGTATCCATCAAATTCATGATGAATGAGTAGCACAACAAAATGCAAGAACCGGCATATTGAATTTTCTAATTTTCATTCTGCTAAAATTTAATTTCCAAAGCGTATTCTATTCTTTATCAAGTCTTCCAATAATGATAATATCTAAATTACCAAAAAAAGAAAATTATATATCAATCTCTAGCATTCCCTACCAGAAGCTTAAAATGAGAATTCTTGAGGTATTTCTTGAAACTTGGAGTCGAGAAAGGTCTTGTATTTTTCTTGAAGATTCCCACCTGAGAATAATTCATTAATTTCATAAGCAACATAGCAGTGTCTTAGAAAAAAGATCTGATGTTCAGGACATGAAGGTTAAAGGGAAGGGTTGTGGAGCGACCTTCAGGTTCAAATGGTGGAATATTCTCCGAAAGAGTTGATTGTGCCAAAGCCTGAAGATCCTTGCCTAGAAAAGTGACAAATGGAAAAACTGTCATAAAAATAAAGTAATAAACCCTTAAAACAGTAAAATATATACTGCTAGAAGAACTTCATGATTTAAAACAACCCCCAATGTGAGATAGATGAATAGAAAGGAAATCGAAGAAATCAAGCAATATTCACAAGAAGAACTATGAATTTCACTTGGACTATAAAACAAGCCCCACAAGACGCGTCTCACAACTAAAATACAGACAGGCATATTAAATCTTCTTGATATCTATAAATTACCTATTGTCCATTCCCAAAATTACATAGATGTATATAATTGCTTCTTTCGGCTCTTTCTCCAATGCCAATTTCTTGACTAGCAGGAAAGAAATGAAAAAAGATGTAAAATATAAAAAGCCATAATCCAACCGAAACTGGAAGATATGCTAATCATAGCATTGTATGTGATTAGTGGAAAAAGAAGAGAAATGAGTGCAGAATTTTCCTCATCTGATAAGAAATTGCCTAACTTAAACACTACAGACTTATTCATAATTCATAGATTCATCTTTTAAATAACTTGTTACATCCAAAAATAAACGAGGCTCAATATACAAAATTTTTTATTACCAGTCACACTTGTTTCTCGTTTTTTGACATTAACTAGGAAGGACGGGATCCGGTGGTCTTTCAACTGCAGCAACAAAGTAGAAAGATAATTAGCATCTAGTAGATGTGAATAGATAACAGAAATATAAATTGAAATTGATTTATTTATTGGTTCTGATATTTGACCTTGGACAGAAATGCCTTTGCAAGGTCCAATAAATCAATGAAAGGAAACTTGCAATATGCAGGAACAAACTTCCCATTCTGATAGCCAGCTAAGAAATGATACGCTGCTTGGCCAGGAGAGAGCTTTGCTACAGAAGGGATGATTCCAGAACTGTTTCATAAATAAAACAAAAGCATTTTTTTTACATACAGGCCAACGTGCAGTAAAAGAGACAAATCACATAAAAGAAATAAGTTCAATACCAGAAATATGTTACCATATTTTGCAGAAGAACAATCAAAAGACTTAAAAGCACCCAAGATTTAACAAGGTAAATCTGAGGCTCTTTTGCCCCTTACCAAACCCATCCAAAATCTGAGATTGCATAGGGAAAGGTTTTATGAAACTAGTTGGAAGTATTAAACTTCAAAATTTCCTTTATCCTTATTTTAGGCTTATGCATCACAAGTAAAGGTATAACTGAAAATGAATGTTTTCTGCTTTTTAATATCTCAACTCACGAGATAAACATCTCAAGTAACCTAATGGTTTACTTTGAAACCCTGCTTAGCAGCATGTGTAATCCAACCAGAAAAGCCAACCTTCAATTTCTCAAACTCAAAATACTGTTTCAATATGATGATTAACTTATAAAACTTCAACGGATATTCAATGTTGTTTTATATATACATATCTCTTGCATGTTAAAAGAATTTATAATTTATAATCCATGAAGAACATTATAAATTTATGAAACCATCAAGCACATGCAATTTTATTAGCTTCTTCTATCTGAAAGGAGAAATGGAATATTATAACAAAGAATATCCCAAGAATTTTTTTATTTTTTTATTTAGACAAACATTTTAAAAGTTTAAAATTGTTCTCCTTTATGTCAAGAAATTAAAGCTGAAAAATATCCGAGACTTCCATGAACCATGGAAAAGCATAAACCATATGCAATGTTTTTGTTTAAATAACTATAAAAAAAAATGTAATATTACAGAATAGTGAGAAATATCTTGAATAAACACCACAGTGATAGCAAACACATTAGAGCTAGCTAATGTTGTGTTGCTAAAAGATCTGCTGCGAAAATTTAAGCCATGAGCAACTCTCAAGAAATCCAACAGTTACTATATGCTATAATTTGCATGCAATAGTGCTTCTGTGCAACATACATCAATATATAGATCCTAATTCCTAACTAATTAATAATTCTATTTGATATTCACAATCAGCTTACTGTAGTTTTACCCACTCTTTGAAATAAAATTTGTTTAACAATGTATTCCAGTTTGGATAACCAAGAAAAAGTACAAATGTTTATGTGGCTTTGTTACCTATCACAGGACGCAAAGATAAGAACAACATCAAATATAATTTATTTTTAATAAACATGGAAACTGGAAATTTAGTTAAATCAACTAAAGTTTTGGTAACATTAATCTGAACAGTCAAAGGTAAGTTTTTGAAGCATTGCAATTGATTCAAATAATATAATATGCATCTACATAGCACAAAACATCTTGCTTGGCAGAGCCTAAAAAGGAATGATATACTCCAATGCATTACTGTCGAAAGAAATGGGCTGTGAGTGGTATGGTTACCAATCAGATGATGCAAAGACAACAGCAGCTGGCAATTTAAATGTATCTGGCCCACCAGAATTTCCAGTTTGGAACAAGGGAGCAATGCCTTGAGAGGAAAGTATCACACCAGCATCTGCGGACACCAAAACATTGGCACAACTCTGAATGGTATCTTCAGGTGCAAATAGAAGTATCACAGAGTCAGCCAACACTAGTAGCCTGTTTGCATCCTTCACATATAAATTTCAGATCACATGTCAAAATTTTAACACAATAATGATGAAGATTAAAATATCTTACCTTCCAGAAAGAAGAAGGCCTCCACGTGCACATATAATAGGTCCAGACAGGGCAGTTAACGCTTCTTTGATTCCATTTGTGTCAGCAAAAGCTTGACCACATAAAATGAGTGAAGAACGCTCAATATCAGCAGTTATAAATCCATTACTTCCTTGAGCTCCAAAAGCAACTGCATCCATGACACCAACACTGTAGCCAAAAATAAAAAAATGGAATAACACTATTGATCAGTGTCTATAATCATGTTTTAATTATCAAACACCAGAGCTCACAGCGCCTACCATTACTATCCTGGCAGAGGCATATTGATGAAGAATAGCCAAAGAGTGTAATTAATAGTTCCATCTATTGTGTAGTCTAAATAGGTCACTGGAAAAGATTCAAGATAGAATTCGTTTGAAATATTATCAGCCAATTCTTGAGGGCAGGTAATATTGTCCTCGTAAACAAGCAAGTACTCTGAAATTTGTAGGTTATATGAGTGTTCAACACATTTTGTAATAGTTCCATGTACTCCATTTTGGACAAGAAATTACCTCTAATATAAACGCTGTATTTAAAGAATGAAGACACGGGGCTATCATTTAGAAGATCCACCTCATCAATCCCTACTTCCATTAAAAAATGCCTAGAAGTACTAAGGGTAAAAGGACCCAGGCCAAGCAGTGTCTCTACACAGGTGAATCAACATGTTTACAGAGTGGAAATTCCACCTCTCTAAATTATTTTTCTCTCTCTAAATTCTCTCTCTCAAGGGCAACCCACACTGCTTACAAAGTACCTAGCCCAATACTTTCCAAAGTAGTTAGGCACATCAAAACACTCACTAAAGGCAAAAAAGGTATGTTCATAGATGTAAAGAGCTCCATACTTTTAGTAGATAACATCTACAAGGGGGAGTACATCAATGACCAAATAAAAATCAACTATACCTTATAGATGTGGCAACATAAACTGTCAAAGGACAAGAATCATGGGAAACAGCCCGAGTAGGTGTCTTCAAGAGAATGCTTGAAAATTTCAACATGGCAGAAGGATTATCACTTATCACACGAACTTTTGCATCACATTCTGATGACGAACCAATTGCCCCGTCTTGAACAAAAACATTTGAGATGGATGACAAATGAGTCGTGACCTGTTAAAATAAAAACAAAATTTAAAAAAAAACCAGAGTCAAATGAATCAGAGATTATATGTGGATAAATATATAACACGGATGTAAGCATTAGAAAATGTTGCTATGAAACAGGTTGAAAGGAAAAAAAAAAAAAAAAAAAACTTTGTAAAGTATTTTTAACATCCAATACTTGCCCAAATTATGACAACATCGTTCATCAAAGTTCTTTAATGTAGCCAAAGTATTCTACTTATTTTTCCTATGTTTCTTCAGGGCTTCTTATCCATGTTCATCTACCACACCACTGTTGACACACTTCCAATACAAAACAGAATAAGGATTCAACCCATTCAGATTAAGTTCCTCCTCTAATCTCTCATAAATGCCTAGCCATGAAATAATATAGTGCAGAAAGCTCAGTCAATACATGCCTGTTTCAGTAGTTTAGTGTAGTGTCCCTTAGAAATATCAAGAATTCCTCCACGTACACTTCCTCTAACAAGAAGAGGAAGTCCTGATAAGGATGCTAGCAAAAAGAGGAGGAAAAATCAGACAGACAAACTAAAAGAAACAAAATTGAATTAGCATGAGTTCAGTTGATATATCACCTACAATTGTTGCACCTTTCTGCTGTAGCTCAGATGATGTCAAATTTTGAAAAGCTTTATCCTTCACAATAACACCTTTTCCAGCCAGAGCCCAGTTAAGACCATAAGAAAATCCAAGATTTCCCTGTTTTAAAGGAAATGCAAGGAATAGCTAAGAGAAGAACAACTCTTATTAAGTACAAACTACATAGTAAGCTGCATAGTGTTTTTGCATCATATGCTATTACTTATATCCTAATAATTGATAAAGCAAATGATAAGATATGAATCAGATACAAATTCATCACAAAGTTAATGAATCATTTACCCAAAACAAAAACACTAGTACTTGATATTGCTTAATAAAACACCAACATTGAAATTAGTTTTTATTTTTCTGATAGGAAACAAAATGTCCATAATACTGCAGATAAAACTGAAATCCTTTACAAAACTTTTGCATTGAAATGTTTTAATAGGTTCTATAATCATTAATTGGGTGTAAGGGTAATTTACTAAATTTGTCTATAGACAATACTATATATATAAGGAGGCTAAGTAAACCTTAAACTCTAATCCTAATTGTGGAATATACTCCACTTTTCTTCTTCTCTCTTCTCTTTCTGACCTAAAGCCCAAAATTTTGGCTATCTGTTTAATATCCACCAGGAAACGATGTCTAAAGATGCGAATCAAACGTATATCCACTAGGCTTATAGATCATATACAGAACCCTAATAATGACTGCTGTTAATGTCTTGCCATCAAAAACATTTATTTTGTCTGACCCTTCATTTTGAAGACAGGTTCTTGAGTGCAACCCCTAATGTAAGTAAAATCAAAATTAATTTATGTAACCTAGTTGCAGTCTCAAACGCTGGTTCAACAACTAAGCAGTAATAGAAATATCTTCACCCTCAGTTTCCACAAAGCATTAGAACCATGCTAAACTTCCAGGTTTCACACTTCACTATGGGCTAACTTCAAGATGGCTTGTGTTTCGACAAAAGTAACAGCTCCGACACTACCATCCTCCCTCTCCGAAAGCAAAACCCAAAAAAATAAATAAATAAATTATATATATAGCTAAATAAAATGATTGCAAAAATGGCCAAAGATGATCTCCTTGATGTTGCACACCATCTTAGATAGTCAAAATTTCCCATAGCTTAATAGTTGTCATGGTGAAGAAAATGATGATTTTTAATAACAACGAATCCCTAAGTTCCATCTAAAGACAATATATCCATGAGGTTTTAGACACAAAAACCCTAATGTTAATAAGTCATTTTAAAAAAGCAATTACCTAACATGTGGAGACATATGTAGAGCAACGAAAGGTCATACTCGTCCTTTGGAATAACTTCCACATATTCGATTCTTTTTCCCCTCCATTCTATTTAATTTCTTTCTCATTTCACTTTCCCAATGTTCACTCCAACAATATTGTGGAAGTCAACACAATGCTAATATGGTGAATGAGAAAGTGAAAAAGAAAATTGAAGAAACAAATTCAAGAGAAATACAAAAGGGGAGAAAGAGCAAGTGAGAAATAAGAGGGCGAAAGAGAACCAGGTGGGAGAGAAAGAGAAGGAAATGACAAGAGCATATATAACTTTTTGTTGCCTTTTAACATGTCTCAAATTGCTTGCTAATATGGTATATAAGAAAGAGAAAAAGACAATTGAAGAAAGAAATTAAAGAGAAATACAAAGGGGGAAGATAAGGAGAGCGAGAAAAAAGAAGGCGAAAGAAAACCAGGTGGGAGAGAAAGAGTGGGAAATGACAAGAGCATCTATAACTTTTTGTTGCCTTTTGACATGTCTCAAATTGCAAGCACTTACTTTTTCAAGGTTGGTTGTGTTATTTCTGAAACTCAAGGTTTTGATTCTATTTAAAGCAAACCTTAGGAGATCCATGCAATCATCCCTGACTATAATGATAGGTCAGCTTTTGTCTATTAACCAAGACAAAGATTTTTGTAACTGATCACAGTTCAAGATGAAGAGGCAGTAGGAAATCTAGAAAATGTTCTGCTTAATGATAACATTCTGGTTTTTTTTTTTTTTTTTTTTTCTTTTACATTCCACAGTGAAACATAAGACCACTGAGTATCATGAAAACAATATGGCAGGCAGAGTGGTAGTTTCAGTGAACACAGACACAAAGAATCTAATTGAAATTAGTAACATTGCAAACAAATATAAAAGCCAGTAAAGTTCAGAAATAAATTTTTTCAGTACTTTTAGTGTCGTCAAATAAACATTCACCTAGAAAACATGACTGTTTCAACTTCCACCTCAAAGTACAGGGCTGAAACGCATTCTGCAGAAGTCCATAAATTAAGGATACTATTAGATCATTCTTGGGATAGAATACTGTTCTGATTAAGTTTCCTTATATGTTGAAAAGAAAAGGCCACTTTAAGTAAAACTACATAGTGAATGCAGCAGTCGAATGATACAGCAGTGAGACACCTTACACCCAGCAAGATAAGCACCAAACACACATTTTATTCAAGAAAATTCTATCACACTGCAATCCCAGATATTGCTTAAGAGATTCAAAATTAGCAAATAATGAATTTACTGAAACAACATAAAATAATCACAATGTGTACAAGCTGTAGCCGGCAACTTAATTATCAAAAGCTCAAAGATGACCATGATTAAATATGTCATAGTAAATAACAAAACTAATTCACTCTTCTATCTGAATAAGCTATGCACATATATATTCACAATAAGTTGGATAGAAGTAATATTAAGGCCAAAAAGGAAATAAGTAATTAAACACAGGAACCTATTTTGCTGCTTAAATACTTTTCTCTTTCTGTTAGCCCATGTTTCAAAGTTCTGCGTCATGCTAGGACATATGGCTCCATCACTATTGGTACTTTCCAAGACAAAAAACTAGCCCAGGCAATCTCCTTCAGAAAACATAGTCTCTACAAACATAATGTTTCCTTCGCATGCCATGTTGCCTATACCAAAAAATCTCTCAACACACCTCAGCCAAATTTATCAAAATTTCATTTGGTAGCAAACATAAATTATGTATGCCAATGAATTATTTAACGGATTTTTGAGCAATATTTTGTTTAAGCTTAGTAAATTTGTTCATTGCAGTCCATAAACTACTATATCCTAACCAATAATGTATAACCAGGCACTCAAATTATATATACCAGTTAAATGTTGTCTTTAAAATTTTTCTATGCTGCTTTACTTTCAATTTTTTTTCCACATGATTCTAAAAGGAAATGATCCCATTTTTTTTAATTTTACTAACCATCTAAAATCAAAAGTATTCTTTTCTTTTTCGATTGTTGCACCCATGACCCATCAATCAAAAAGCACAAATAGTGAAAAATATAACTAACGAAAAAGAGAGAGAAGTTACGCGTTGAGAGGAGAGCAAGAAAGGCGTGTTGCGTCTTGAAGATGCAAGAGAGAATGAGGTCTCCATTAATTGCTTCAACAGCACCTTCTTCATTTTCTTTCTCAGTAGCCACTACAAACTCCACATTGCAGCTCGGGCGCAGCGAAAAATACAAGCAGAGAGACATTGCAGCTAAAAATACCACGTGGACAAACCATGGGCTCCAAGCCCCATACCAAATACCAACGGGCCCATTAATAGGCCCGTGGCAAATTCTCGGTTTAGATAATAGTAATAGATTAATAGGCCCATTAATGCTATCTGGAAAAGCCTCTTATAAGGAGGTTTTGTACAAACTGACGTGGCACGTCACCATGTGAGCCATATTACTTAATGCCCAAAAAATTAAAAAAGATAAAAATATTCAAACCCAAAATTTCCAAATCAAATTCCCTCCCAAATTTTACAATCCCTAAACCTGATTTTCTATTTCTTCTTCGCCATTTTTCAATTTTCTATTTCTTCTTCTTCTCCATGGCTCCTATTTCTTCTTCTCCCTTTTTCAATTTTCTATTTCTTGTTCTTCTTCTCCATTACTCTTCTTCTCGCCGTAAAACCAAACCCAAACCCTAACCATTGACACCATTGAGAGTCTAGCCCTGTCATTTCAAAGCTTCTAAAATCTGACGGAGGAACCAAAAGAGAGAAGTGAATAGAGTGATCGCCATGGATTCTTCGAAATTTCGTTTTTACCTCTGCCGTGGCTCTTCGCTAGAAAAGCATGAGTCTTTCAATACAGACCCTATTAGAGGTGGAACAAATGGGCTGGGTTAGGCAGGTCAACCCTAACCCGGCCCGCATTAGAGAGGGTTCAACCCGCATGCAACCCCCGGGCGGGTTGGGTTGCTATTTGTTTACAATAGCCAACCCGGTGGGTTGGCCCAAAAAAAATTAAAAAAAATAAAGAATTAATTATTTTTTTCAAGTTTCCCCCATTTTTTTTAATTCTTTTAATTAAACTATCTCTTACAAATTATTTTACATAATAATTTTAAACTATACTTATAAATCATAAATATTAAAATGTATAAAACTTCGTAATATTTAACACATTGTTATTATTATTTTTTATGGTACGTAAGATATAAAAAAATTAAATACTAAAGTCTTATTCTTAAATTTCCATGTCTTATATAAAATATAATTCATTCTTATGCTAAAGTTTCATCAACTGAATGAATAAATCTAATTTTTCTTATATTACAATTTTATTGTATTAAAATTGAATTAATATTTGAAATGTTAATTAAAAAAAATTAATTTAATTGAATTATTGATATTTGAAAAGTTAACTAAAAGTAATTACATTTATTCATTTATAAATCGTTAATTATTTATTTGAAAAGTTGACTAAATAAATAAAAAAATAAAAAAATAGGGTTAATCCGGCCCGACCCGTAGCCTAACCCGACGAGTTAGGGTTGGCGGGCTTGGTTGGGTCAGCCATTACCCCAAAAATGGCTGGCCTAACTCGGCCTGCCTTTGTTGATGGGCGGGTTAAGACCAACCCGCCAAAAGAAGTAACCCGTCGCAGGCCGGGCCGGGTGGGTTACTTTTCCACCTCTAGACCCTATGTCCTCTTTCAATTGAATTTATGTTGACTTTGATTCTAATCGTTCAATAGACAAGTTGAAAAGAGGTTATTACTAAAAATCCTATTTCTTTTTATATTTGTATGATATATTTTATTGAAAGGAATTCAGTCTTGGTCACTATAATTTTTTCTTTACCATGCATTAAATGGGAATTTGTTATCACTACCACTCATGGCAGTGACATGCATTCTTTCTTCTCTAGTCTACTTTAAAATTTAGATTGGTTTTGAGTCTTATTTTTTGAAATGTAAGAGTAATGCTATCCTTACTAACGAAACTTACTAACCACCCTTACTAATTGACGTGGCAAAACCACCTCATCTGTCACGTTACCAATATGCCACATCACCTCCCTAAAAAAAAAAAAAAAAAATTCAAATCAAATTGGAAATATACAACAAATCAAATTACCTCCCAAAATTGTTCAATCCCTAAATCATATTCTCTCCCAAATTTTATAAACCCTAACCATCAAAATTTCTCCTTGTCAGCCACCACAGCTGGATGGTGGTCGAAAGTCGTCGGAATGGTGCACGACCAGTTGGATTTGACCGGTGGATCCAGTCGATCGTGCACCAATCTAACCGTTTTTGGCCAGATCTACAGCCATATCTTGGCCGTCGTCAACTGCCAGATCTTTGACTATAAATCTGGCCAGAAAAGGTCAGATCGGTGCATGACCGTCCAGATCTAGCCAGTCGTACGTCATTTCGATGACTTCCAAGCATCATCCAACGGTGGTGGTCGATTGTTGGAAATAGTTGGGTGGGTGAGGGTATTTGTTAATTTATAAACTTTTATTGTGGGAGGTGTTTAGTCAAATTAACAAATATAGGGAGTTAAAAAATTATATATTTTCAAAAAATATACCAAACATATTATCAGAATCTTATCATATTAGATTAAATTCTATTCATAATATAATACTATTCTAAAAACATAAACAAACAGAGCAAAAGTCGCTGATAAAGAATTTGTACTTATTTTATCTAAATAGAATCATTATTGTTTTTATTTGGTTCAGTGATATGATAGTCAATTCTGTTTTATTAATATAGATTTACATTTTATTGATAAAATCTTAGTTCAAGTTATCTTAATTTAATGTTCATATATTAAATTTACCTATTTTGTAATTTCGTGACTTATTTACAACTATTAAATTTATTATACGATTTTTAAATTTATAATTTTCATATTCAAGACTATAAGTTTGATCTTACTTAACTTTAACTATAATGTTATGTGAGAAAGAGTTCTACTTTCATTCTAATTAGAAAATAAAAATAAAAGTTTAACTAGTTAAATTACACAATTTCCTTTTTTAACTTTAATTAAACCGCTGATTTTATCCTACGGTCTTATTTAAATCTCAGTTTAAATGCCAGGTGTTTGATCTCAGTATTGCCACGTCAACTCTCACTTAAACCTTTGCCTTTCTCTCCACTTCAAAAGAATCAAAACCCCCAAACTTTCTCTATTTCATTACAAATTTTCTCTCAACTTTCTCACCTCCCAAACAATCCGAAGACATGTCAAACCAATCTCAAACTCAACGCTACCATATTGGCTACGCCTTCACTCCCAAAAAAGAGAAAACCTTCACCCAACCGTCTCTCCTCGCCTGCGCAACCCGACGTGGCATCGACTTAATTCGCATCGATCCAAACAAACCCTTGATCGAACAAGGACCGTTCGATTGCATCATCCACAAAATCTACGGTTCCGATTGGCCTCTCCAATTGCAACACTTCTCCTCCCAAAACCCTAATGTTCCAGTAATCGATTCCCCTCACTCAATTCAAAGACTCAACAACAGAATCTCAATGCTCAAAGTCGTCTCTCAACTGAAAATCAATTTCGAAAACGACACGTCGTTTGGCGTTCCGAAAGAGCTTGTCGTTTCCGATATGGTAAATTTCGCGCTGACATTAGACTTTCCGGTAATCGCTAAGCCGTTGTTGGCGGACGGGAGCGTGAAATCACACGAAATGTATCTGATTTTCGCCACCGAAGGGCTTGAGAAATTGAAATTGGCGTCGCCGATTGTCTTGCAGGAGTTTGTGAACCACGGTGGGGTTGTGTTCAAAGTGTACGTTTTGGGTTCACATGTGGTATGCGTGAGGAGAAATTCGTTGCCCGATATCTCAGAGGAGAAGATGAAAACATTGAAGGGTTGTTTGCCATTTTCGCAGATATCGAATTTGTGTGAGAATGAGAAGAAAAAGGGTGATGATAGTTGTATTGAGATGCCGTCTGAGAATTTTGTCGTGGAATTGGCTAAGGCGTTGAGAGAAGAAATGGGGTTGAATCTTTTTAACTTTGATTTGATTAGGGATGGTGAGAGGTTTCTTGTCATCGATATTAATTATTTTCCTGGGTACGAGAAATTACCTGATTTTGAATCTGTTATGACGGATTTTTTGTTGGATGTTGTGGAGAAGAAGCATGTAGAGGTGGTCTAAGAGTGGAGATGAATGAATTTCAGGTGATATGATTTTTGGTGCTTAAAAAATGAAAACCTTTGTTGCTAATTGTATAAAAGGAATCATCTAATGGACGAAT